TATATATATACATTCACGTATATTATATACACAGACGTACATCATGCGCCATATGGCACAAAATGCCCCTTCACGTGCAGTCACTGGGTATTGTAATCTGGTGGGAATTCGGGGAAAGTGCGGCCTCTCGCAGTGTACCTCTCCCAAAGCCACCAGCGACTCAGGAGCAGGAGGAGGGTGAAGAGTTAAAAGTAGTGTTAAGCACCCCTCTCCGACGACAGCCCAGCATCCCGTCCCCAGCCTCCCCCACCAGACTTTCACCCCCACCCCAATGCCCCTGGTCAGCAACATTTCTTAACTCCTGGTTTCTTCTTGGTCTTGTTAATCTTCACCACCTCATTCTGCTGTTGCAGACGAGCTAAGTTGTCCTTTTTGCACCTCAGGACCATGTAGGTGACAGCGTTGAACATCTGGGCGCGCGAGATCGAGAGGACGTTGGTTGGTTGGGGGAGGGTTGCGGGAGAGAGAGAGAATAAACAGAGCCAGAGGTGAGGGAACACTCGAGAAACCAGAAACCCTGACGGAGCTGCTAACTCCCAGAGCAGGCACCGCTTCGGAGGCCCGCGAGAGATCTCTTACAGACGACTCGAACCATCGCCCTCGCTCGATACCGTCAACGATTTGCGCCCTGCGCTCGTCAGGGCAGGAGCAAGAATTCAGAAGGAGCGCCAAGTTTCTCTTTGGAGCAGAAAGCTGCAGAGGGACCCTGGACACGCTCCATCTGCTGGCAGCGGGTCGGGACTAAGCATCGAGGGAGACAGTAACGTTCAGACGGTGTTGTTTACTCGCACACCGAGGCTTCATGCTCGAGTTCTGCAGGGTGGCACTCTGACTGGGTAAGCCTGACTCCTGGATTTTATAACTACACAGTCATACAGCATGGAAACAGACCCTTCGGTCCAACCAGTCCGTGCCGACCGCATTTCCCAAGCTAATCCAGTCCCACCTGCCTGCGTTTGGCCCATATCCCTCCAAACCTTTCCTATCCAAAACCATTTTAAATGTTGTAACTGGACCGGCCCCCACCCATTTCCTCTGGCAGCTCCTTCCATACACACACCAGCCTCTGCGTGAAAAGGTTGCCCCTTTTCCCCCTCTCACCTCAAACCCA